CCGCCGGAAATGCACACTCACTTCCGGCACCTTCAACGCGGAGCATGCCGGGTACCGTATGGCTCTGCGTAGAGTAGCCTCGCTTTAACATTCCTCCCCCAAAGAAGGATTGGTTGATCTCTGTGGTAAGGGGGCCCGTTAAGCTCTCCGAATGGTTACTGGGAGTGTTCGGAGCTGCCTTTCTCGCTCGGGCGCCCCCTGCCGATCAGCTTTCCAAGTGACACGAAGGCACAGTTGGTAAGCACTAGGCAGCTGCCGTTTCATTCCTTTCTCTCGCGGGTCACAAGGACAGCAAGACGTATTAAGTTTCATTATTGTTGCTGCCTACGTGCGTTGACATCATTATAGTCTCTTCTAGGGGCTCAGGACTCAGTGGTCTTGCTGACCATAAATCTTGGGTTCCATAGATCTTGGGTTCATTCGTAGCAAAACCAGTAAACGAGCTCCCCTCCAATAAAGCGCTTTGCTGTTTTCTGTACATTCGGGTTTACTTTAGCCTTTAGAAAATTAGAAAAAGTTAACGTTAGGAAAGACATTCCTATTCCGTTCTGTGTAGTTTTGGAAAAAGCAGGGGGCCCTTGCATTTTAAAACAGTTTTGAAAAAGGATTTATGGTTTGCCATAGAAAAATGCATGTGAGGAAATGTAGGAGTGAGATTTTTAAATTAGTTTTTATTGGACATTTTTTACAGAGTAAAACAATACAAATATAAAGAAGGAAAAGTAGGAAAAAGCGATAAAAGAAACAAAGATATGAAGAAGCACCCTCTGCTCTTTACAGCAGTTATAAATGCATTTATATTTTAGCTTCTCAATCTAAAGATACTGTTCCCTTCTTTCCATATTCTACACTTTATAATTATCAAACCCATAAATCATGTTCATTTTTGTTCCGTTTTCAGCATAAAGTCCATACAGGTGTCAGATCTAATCACAAGTATAGTTGCTGACTTTTCCCTAATCAAACTATTTTGGCCATCTTTGCAAATTCTGTCATCTTCACCAACCATTCTATTGTATGTGTATTTCAGAGTCTTTCCATTTTTGTTCATATAATGATCTTGCTGCGGATGAAAAGTAGGAAGGTTTTGATTGGCAAAGAGTTTTTTGAGAATCAAAAATCTTGTTCCAATCTGTTTCATTAGCCAATTTATCTTACCATGATGCCTAACTATATAGGTGTGACCCTGTACTTAAGTCAGTGTTTTTCAAACTTGAAACTTTAAGGTAAATGAATTTTAACTCCCAGAATTCCACAGCCACCGTTTTAAAGTTGTCAAGTTTGGGGGGGAAATGACCCAAGGAATATTATTTGTGATATTAATCTTATTAGTTTTTTAAAAGTCAACTTTTGTTCATGCAGCTGTGTTGATAATTTTATTAATATCTGCATCTTGGAAGGAATTTAGTTTCCAGAAACTGGACCTTTTCACTCTACCAAGTTTAAGTGCTATCCATCCGTCCTTTTGGTGGCAGAAAAATATACCTGCATGGAACTTGCTATCCCTATTGCCAATCCCAATTTCTGCCAGTCACCTGTCTTGCTTCCAAAGCTGTTTTAAATACCTTGATGCTGCCCTTGGATGGTCTTGGAATAAGAAGAGGAATGTTCTTTTTGGCAGTGGTACAGTTTAGGAAATGTTAAAACTATCTCATAGTGTGGGGATAAAGGCAATATTTCAGATGCAAGGCAGAAAAAAAAGAAGTTGCCAGGACATGTTTCTGCTAGTTAGCTGAAAAAGGGGACACTTCTAGTCATGTAGGTTTCAGTGAATCTTGTCTAAGTGAAACTAATTAGGATTCATCCTGTACTTTTTTCATGGAAATGTAGCCATTTGTTAAATTGTTTAAAATTTTGGTTTTAAGCTTGTGTTGCTTAGTCAAAAAAAATCTAATCGTTGCAGAATCATGTAATCTCTATAACACTTGAAATTAAGCTTAAAGTTCCAAAATAATTGAAAAACACTAGTCAAGTAACTTAATTATCATTATACTTATTTAGATATATTTACGTTTCTCCCTAGTCTTTGCTGTATTATACGTATTTGGTTGGTTTTCCATTTGTTTTTGTTCCTTGGTCAAAATTAAATAGAAAAGGTGACCATGAACAATACTAAGGAAGTAAATATACTCCTTTATATATGAAGAAGGAGATAATATCCAATAACATATCACGTGAGCATTAAGACTTAACTCATTGAGTATATCTAAACTAAAATTTTGGAGCATATATAAGATCTTATAGTTCAGAATCAAAATTAATTTCACGTGCCCAAAAACAATGAGTTTCACAATAAATCAACATTTGAAAGGAACCATATAAAGATTTGGATTGTGCAAGAGGTCATTAGGGTTTTAATACAAAATTTGGCAACTGGATTCAGTGAAAGGGCAGTCCAAACTCTACTTATCCCAAAGGCCAAATAACATCGTTGCTAATATTTCACCACTCCTTTACATCGGCTCCTTTTGTGTGTGTGTGTGTGTGTGTGTGTTACTAACCATGTCCCACTGCACAGAGAAAAGAACTTTGTCTAATATATGTATGGAAAACTGACAGTAGCTATATTCAGGAAACACACAGATAATGTTTAGTGACCTTGCTGTGTCTCTGCAGAAGGAAGGAGAAGAGCTCCTACTGACAGCATCTTTATTTCCTCTGTATTACCCTTGCCTCATTTTTTTTCCTTCAGACTGAACCCAGTCTTGATTTGATTTTGCAAGAGGGCTCAGCTCCTTCTAGCATTGACCATGATTCCCCAGTTTTATATGAAGGCTAATGTTGAGTTATGGGATTCTTCCAATGTTCTTGCAGAAATACCAGTAGACTTGGCATTGCACTCCTTTGCCTATGTCCCACCACTTCTCTTTCGAGTGAAGGACCAGCTGTGGGTGAAGCAAAACAATAGTGAAGGTCGGAGTAGGATGTGTTTTGTATGGTAGACCCTCCTGGCCAGAGGCTCCCTAACCAAGCTGCAGAAAAAATGGAAGCTTTTCAGAAAGAGTTTATGAATTGTTATTCTGTTTTAAACTGGCTGTAAGCTGCCTTGAGTCCACTAGGAGAAGGGCGGGGTATAAATGCGATTAATAAATAAATAAATAAATAAATATTATACCATTAACCTTTCAAGCTCCTGGCAGTTTATAGAGTAATGGAAACATAAAGCATTGGATAAAATCAGTGCCACTCCAGATAGTTATAGCATTTTACGCTTCAACCACTGTAACCTCTAGGAAAGACTTTGGTCCTCCAAACTCTCTGGAAAGTTGTCAAGAGCTCCAGTTAATCTTAGGAGGAACCATGCTTCAAAACCAAAACATAAGGGCACATACTGAAAAGCAGCATTGTGTTCTCTTCCTCAGTTCTCATATGGTGATGGGATTCAGCAGCCCCCAGATTGAATATATCAGGTGAGTTAAGCAGGCAGTTTTTCACATAGTCATGTGCTAAGTGATAAAGAGCTTTATAGGTGAAGACCAGCTCTTTAAATTGTATGTGGGAGTCTACTAAAGCCAGTGCTGTTTTTATGCACTTTGTATTGTTCTTTGTTTTTAAATGTTTTAACAATTGTAAACTGTCCAGAATCATTGGAATTTGGATGACCTATAAATAATAAATTATTATTATTACTATTATTTCATACTTGTAGCACTGCTGTTGTATGGCACTGGTAGTTCTCACCTACCAGCAAGTGAACTGTATTTTGAACCAACTTAGCTTGCTTGTAGTTTTTGTAGGCAGCTCCATGTAAAGTACATTGCAGTTGAGGTGGACTGGTCACAAGGCATTCCAGAAATTGCTGAGTCTGGAGATAATGCTCTCTCAAACTGTCCTTGACTGCTGCAGCCATATTTCACCCATATCCTGTTTTTGCTTTGCTTAGTAGCCAATTCACTATTTTTATCTCTGTGTCAATGTTCAACTGTCTGGTACTTTTCCATACCCTCAGGAATGCTGAGATCACAATGTTTAACATATTACCATATATGGGGCCTAGAGGGGTCAGGAAATGCATACGTTGTATAACCTATATATGTGCCATCTGAACGCTCCTTGGGGTTCAGATCTTTGTATTGGCTTTGGCCATCTGAACCTGCGCATATTAAAACTTTCCTTCTCCAAAGAGCTGGCTTGTGTCCCTTCATTTCCACAACACAGTAAATGATTGAAGCAAGATGTGTGCTTTGAGAGAAAAGGCAAAATCTCCTTTGGATTGAGCTCAATTCCTGGTGATTTCATGGGAAAAGTCATGTAGTTTGTTTAGCAACAATATGGACATGGCAAGGGGAAATAGGACTGGCTGGATGCCATTTTTTTTACGTTCTCCCCTTGGTTAACTAAAGGAAACATTGGCTGATTCATGTTAGTTTTTTAGTATTTCAAGATTGACTGCAGTGAGGAAAAAATGGGGATGGGTTTGAAAATGTTTCTGATTTGGGGAGTGAAAGCAGGAGCCTTTGGGGAAAGCTTACATTCCACTGCTAGACCTAACCAAAACACATCTTACCTCCTACTCCAACCCTCACAACTGCATTACTTCACTTGTAGCAGGTCCTTCCCCTTGAAAGGGAAATGATGGGACATAGGCAGAGCAGAGCAATGCCCATTCTGCTGATTTTTGCATTGGCAAGAAGGGATTATAACCATTTCAGAATCCAGAGCTGTTTCGTGGCATAGGTGCTGCTGCATTTCATTTCTGTTCTCATTTTTTCAGAGGTTTAGTAAGAGGATAGTAGTGGAATTAATAACATTATTATGCTATACTCAAATACCGATAATATAGGCTGTCGTTGGTTCTTCTATTAGGAACATTGTGGTAAAGAGTATTTAGTTGTGCTTCCTGGCTCAAGCAAACAGCAGTGCTGCTTTGCCTTATGTCCTAAATTAGTCTTTAGACCACAGCCACTGGCTAAATAATGCCAGGCTTTTATTAGCCTCTATAAAAACAATACTTTAAAAAAATCACTTCTCTTGGTTTTTCTGATTTAGGACTAGGCCACCGAACGGAAATGAACTGGAGGTTGCATTTCACAGTCTCTGCAAGGAAAAATGTGCTTCAGACTGCCAGTTTACAGAGATTAATTGGTAAGTCTCAGTCTGCTTCAGGTAGCTTGCTTGATCTGGGAAAAGCATAGCAGGGTTCAGAAAGGCTATGGAGATTTGTGACAGTGAGTGGACAAAATATACAGGAGTTAATATATTATGAACAACAAAGGGAAGAGTTGAATATAGGAAACAGTGCTGTGTAATAACTCCAGTTCTTGAGTGACCCAATAATGAATAATAACAAAGCTGATAATTTTGGTTCTGCTGGCTATAATTTTTAAAGAAGAGATTCTAGGACTTTAATCTGGAAAGTCTTCCTAATAAATTGTGTATTCTAACCCCAAGTTATGACTTCTTCCTTAATTAATTCAGTGTTAGTGCTGTTTTAATTCTGTGGGGTTTTTTTGCAGAACAAGATTGATTTGTAGAATACATTATTTTTCCAGCAGCAAGCCAATTGCTGTGAAATTCAGCAGGCACTCCAACTGGCTTTCCATTTTTATTCCCTTGTCTTGCATGGTTCAATAGATGGACTGGGATGTTGAGCTGGGCTGTGTTTATTTATTTAGGATGGGAGACCCCAAAGCTGTAAACATAGGGGTAAATTGAAGAGTATCCCAGAAAAAGGAAGTGACACATCACTTCTGTACTGTTTCCAAGAAAACCGAATTGAGATCCTCAGGTAGTCACTAGGAATAAAGTTCAGTTTATTTATTTTACTTGTATTGCATTAATTGTAAGCAAATGCAGGTTTCTCTCCTTATGTAATTGCAATATATAATAAACAATAATAAAACTACTCCCTTACAGGAAGTATTAAACATGTAAAATTTTATTTTGCTGAGCTAAATTATTTGTCATTCCTCTACAAAATGATACTTCAGTTTCAATATTTATCCCAAAAATGTTTTTTAATTATTTTTAGGATGGAGGTTTCTGGATCTCTGGATGTATGCCCAGCATCAGCATTTTAGAAATTCTTCCAATCTGACAGCCTGCAAAAATCTTCCCTTACTTCCATTAAGATCTGTCCTCTGCTTTCCTCATGGAAAACATTTGCTGCAGAAGACTTCAGAAAGTAGCTTAAAAAACACAACAGACTTGTCTGGAATAAGGTAAGGCCTTGATATCCTTTGTGTAAATATTCTTTAACTTGAAATTCTATTAAATCTTATTTAAGAGTAAGGCTCATTAGAGCTCAGGAGATTTTTGAATGTTTGTTGTGAGCCTTTCAGGTTCAAAGTTCTCATTCTCATGATAGTTCTATTGCTGGCAGAAGGAAAGGATCCAAAGGACACTTGTTCTGTGTGGTATTAGATTAGAAAGCATGTAAAAGGCTATTCTCTGCATAAAATATCTTTTAAAATGTCATTAACTTAATATAAAATACTTTAAGTATTCTAATCCATAGGTTGTGATACAATGTACAGTTATAAGGCATACAATTTAAAAAGAGTATTTAATAAAATTTAAGATTATTTAAAATAACATAAAAATACTTTATTTTTGTTACAAGGACAAAATCATAGTAATGATGTTACTATGGAGGAAATGTTTGTGATACTGGGTTGCATTCAATCTCCAGAGTATTTTTCCTAGCTGTTTTCTGTGTTTTCCATAAAAATTCAATTTTATGGGAATCAGGGTAGAATCCTTGTTTTTCAAAACAGGTTCTAAATATTTGGCAAGTAAAGCAAAATAAGTTGGTTATTAGAACAGATAATATAATATATTTTCTACATTGCTGCTTTGACAGATGCAGACTCGTCAGTAGGGTAAGACCTTTAAGAGAATGCCTATCATTTTTGGCCAATGCCACTTCTTGCATCTGAAATTGCATTAGTGCTGATTGGAGGGAAGTTACAGTAATATATATCAGATATTGCCTCCATTCAGCTATGTACTTTCATACTGCATATCAAGGCCCAACTTCGTTGTTAGCTATTAAACTTTAATCAACTTTAATCATGCAGATATGGTATATCTAATACCCTGCTCTTGAAAGTCTATCAAAGCATCCTCAGATGCAAAAAAAGTCTTGGTGAATACCACATTTTACATAACATGTAAAAAGTGCTTTTTTTGCATAAAATGTAGGAGCTAACAAACTTATGAGATGCTATATGAGAAATGATACCGTTGATTGTCTGTTTTGGCCTGAACTTTAAATGGAATTGTCTAATCATTAAAAACACTTTGTTCTCCATGGAATCTAAGTATGGCACAAATATGCCCAACAAGGTCTTTTTTTCTACTATATCTACATGATGTTCCCTTCACCTTAACTTCAGTCCATGAATGAGAAAGCCCTAAGACATTCTTGGCTGAACTGGTGTTATTTATCCTTTTACCTTGGCATAGTCCAAGGACAATCTGTATAACATTTCTTACTATTTATTATCAAGGAAGTCAAGTGATTGCAGTGATTTGAATGAGAGAGAATAGGAACTGGGAATGGGAACAGAAAGTTGTACACTAGTATAATTTTCTATCAGCTAAAGGCTGGGTGGAGATTGCTTCAACTCAGCACCAAGAGAAGAGGAAAATCTCATTCTGATCCTTTTCTGAATAAATTAGATAACAATCCATAGATGGATATTCTTTTAAATCATCCTGGACTGGAATATTAGTTCTTATTTTTTCCTTATAATATAAATGTGCTTCTTTATAAACTAAAGCATGCTTACTGATTATGTTGCCTGCAGAGTCCAGGGAGTAAGGTTCTTGTCCCTATCCACATTCTCAAGAGTATTTTTTGGAATTGGCCGAGGAGGAAATAACGGTGGAAATAAGAAGCTCAACCTAACAGATGTGATGGAATACATCCAGAAGAAAGAATGCCATAGGATAGTAGTGATGGCTGGAGCAGGACTCAGTACTCCAAGTGGGATTCCAGATTTCAGGTATTGTATGGAACTACTCATATGGCTTTGCCAGCTTTAACCAAATAAGCATCCAGGTTACCAAGACACAGGAATGGTCATCCATGAAATCTGTTTTCATTAGGTGTCACATAGCTTTCATCATGTGTTAAATAACAGAGGCTCAAATAGGGGTATTTTTTAGAACTGTAGGGAAATGTCAGTGTTGTTTTTCTGCCTCTCCCAACACAGAGCCTTGTTTCCTCTTTTAATTAGTAGTGCAGTAGTTCTTCGCAAAAAAAAGAGAGAGATGCTTGGACTACATGAAATATATCTTCAAGAGTTTTTTGGGAGGTCTTCAAGAATAACTATTGCTAACAATAATGTTAGTTTTATTGACTAAGAATCATTTGGCCTTTTACTTCCCTTTTTTCCCAATTTGATCTTGCTATTCTAAGACATCAACACATTTCCTATTTATTTATTTATTTATCTATCTATCTATCTATCTATCTATCTATCTATCTATCTATCTATCTATCTATCTATCTATCTATCTATCTATCTATCTATCTATCTATCTATCTATCTATTTATTGTTTAATTAGATTTGACTCCTGGTTATGTAATTATTTCAGGAACATTTTCAGAACTGGTTTGGCATTGACATTTTCCTAAGGTTGAGAGGGAGTGGCTGGCCCAAGGTTATCCAGTTGGCTTTCATGCTTAGATCAAGACTAAAACTCGTGATCCAACACTTTAGCCACCAGATCAAACTGACCTGAATTTATAAATTAGTTGCAAATTAAAAATCCTCTTATTTTACAGTTGGTCCTCACCAATAGTAATTGGGACAGGAACTTGGTTGCTAAATGACACAGTTGTAAAGGGCAATGTCACATGATTGTGCTGACTTACAATGGCAGTTCCAGCAGTCCCCATTCCCCTAATTGTCATTAGGAGAATCATATATGGTCCTAGCATCTGACAGTCACATGTTTGCCATTAGTGGTCTCTTGCTGGCTTCCTCATTGACTTTGCTTATGGAAGCTATGAATGAAGATTGCAAATCACAATGATTTAACTATGAGATGCTGCACCATCATAAGTGCAAGTTGGTTGCCAAGCACTTGAATTGCAATCGTGTGTGCAGGAATGTTGCAACAACTGCAATCAAAGGACCCATCATAAGTACCCCTTGTTCAGACTCACTGTAACTTTGAGCAATTGTTGAGCAAATGGAGGTTACCCAAGGACTACCTGTATATGAATTCATTTTGCCAGGTAGGGCAGTCATTTCTGTGTTGTCTCAGGTGATGCTATTGGAATGTTGTGTTGCCTGTTGCGCTTGGTAGCTTATAGACAGTAACAGAAACCAATTAAATATCTGCTACCACTGTCTTAAAGTTGGATGAAGTGAACTTCTTCCTTAAAGCAAATTCAGCTTATCCCATGCTCATTAAAACCCACATACATGCATGGTAAGCCATGTCTGGCAGAGGTAGATTCAAAATACAGATGTTCTGTATTTTGTGGTGACTTCTTGGGATAGTTTTTTTTCCTTGTCAAAATACTTCTAACTTGGAACATTCCTGTGAAACATTCTGGATGTTTTATTCTGAGTGAAAAATAAAATACATTTACCACTTTCCTTTCCTTAGCTCTCTAACCAGTTGATAGCTTGAATTAGATATTTCAGTACCATACCTAGGCATTTCTTCTGCTAAGGCTTTGTGGATCTGCATCATACGGTCATTGGGTTGAACAATGACTAAGAAACTAGGCAGACATTGCATGCTTTGACAAATGTATGCCTTTGATTAACTCAGTGATATCACCTGCAATCCATATCCAATATAGATTTGGATTTCACATACAGAGAAAACAGTATATGTGAGCTCTTCTGGAATAATAATTGTTCCCGTCTGGGAACTTCCACTTGACCAGTTGGTAGTCCTGTAACACATAATAGACTTTGTCCTGATACGTCATCTTAATTATTTGGGGGGAAAGTGTTCCTAATCCAGTGCTTGCCTTTATTTATGTGAGCCATTTTAAAAAACACATCCCATACAAATAGTGAACCATAAGGTAGGGATCCCTTGAATGAACTTGGTTTCCTGGCCTACCATTATTCAAATTTTACTCTACTTTTCTTTTTTACAGGTCTCCTGGGAGTGGGCTATACAATAACCTTCAGCAGTATAATATTCCATACCCTGAAGCCATATTTGAACTTAGCTACTTTTTCCAGAATCCCAAGCCTTTCTTCAGGTTAGCTAAGGAATTGTACCCTGGCAATTACAGACCAAACTATGCCCATTATTTTCTTCGACTTCTGTTTGACAAAGGGCTCCTTCTGCGCCTCTACACACAAAATATTGATGGGCTGGAGAGAGGTGAGCCTCTTGCCACTGGCTCTGAGAAGATAAATTGAAAGCAAATTATACAGCAATAATACTTGTGGTGATGGTGGTGGTGGTGATGATGATGATGAGGGATCATCTATTTTAAATATCTTTGAGTTGGTGAATAGTTTAACCAAATCTGATATTTCTGTCTTGCGTGTTCTAGTTGCTGGAATTCCTCCAGATAAACTAGTTGAAGCTCATGGCACATTTGCTTCTGCTACGTGTACTGTCTGTCGAAGATCATATGCAGGAGAAGATTTTAGGGTAAGCCACAGTGCAGCAGATACAGCACTTCAGGAATAGTACAAGTATTACATATATAATTTTAATGCAAATGTAGTCAGCCTGCTTCTGTTGTTTCTAGACGTCCAAGAAGGTAACATTACAATCCTCGAAATCCTTGTCCTACTAGAACACCCTCATCTTTACCTTCACTTTACAGGGAGCATCACCCTTACCCCACATCTCTCATGAGACAATCCCAGATCATTATCATCTTTTCTCACATAACAGTGAAGTTAGCAGTGTGATTCCTGCAAAATGCAAGGCGGACATTGATAAAGGCAAAGCCAACCAGCCAGTAACGTTCCTCCAATTCTCAGCTTTTCCTGGCTGCCCCTTCCTATTGATAGGCTATGCCTCCTTCCACTGGCCAGGCTAAGAAACCGCAGTAGCTGCCAAACTCACTGGCTCCTCTTTCACATGGATCCACATATTTCAACTAGATCCTCGATTTTTGCATCAGCAAGCTCATAGGATTGCCTTAGTTTTTATTGCAGTATTGGTGTGCACTGTCCTCTGTTGTGATGTCAGTCTTGTGGCTTGTGCTGCCTGATTAGGAACTTATATCTCTATTATCTGATTTCATTTCAGGGGGATGTGATGACTGACAAAATTCCAAAATGCCCCGTTTGCACTGGAGTGGTCAAGCCTGATATTATATTCTTTGGAGAAGACCTCCCTCATCGGTTCTTTTTGCATTTGACAGACTTTCCTATGGCAGACCTGCTTTTTATCATTGGAACCTCCCTTGAGGTCTGGGCTATCACGAATATGGGAAAAGAATAAGAGATGGGTTTTTAAGACAAAGTGATTCAGAGACTCTGGAGAACAGAGAAAAGCCATGAGAATTCAAGGGAATGAGAGGGTGGCAGTTCAACAAAAGAGATGGGAAAAGAAGTTCAGAGTTTTAAGTTCATTATACTATAGAACAGGGATATCCAACCTTGGGAACTTTAAGACCTGTGGACTTCAGCTCCCAGAATTCCCCATGCTGGCTGAGGAATTCTGGGAGTTGAAGTCCACGAGTCTTAAAGTTGTCACGGTTGGACACCCCTGCTGTAAAGCCTTAAGCCTTAAGAATTCATTATCTTCTCCCCTAGGAATGACATTGCAGGTCTTCTTGCTGGAAGGGTTCGCTCAAATATCTTTTAAGGGCTCTTAGGAAAAGCAGCATATAAATAAATGTATTATCATCATCTTAAATATTGACAGTACCATTTTTAATTTCCTGTGATTTGCGCCCAGCTCATCTTAACACATATGGAGTGGGCAAATTCAGGAGAAGTTTGGTGTAAGCTTTCAGTTTAGCATTTGAAGATCTATAACTATTTTTTTCTTAGAAAAAATACCCCAATCTTTACTTTGCAAGAGAAACAACTCCCTCCACTCTCCTTTCTAATGCTTTATTTTAGGTGGAGCCCTTTGCTAGTCTGGCAGGAGCTGTCCGTGGTTCTGTCCCCCGCGTCCTGATCAATCGAGACCTGGTGGGGCCATTTGCAGTCCGGTCACAGCACAATGATGTAGCTGAACTGGGAGATGTAATCAGTGGAGTGGAAAAAGTGGTAGAACTGTTGGGCTGGAAAGAGGAGTTACAGGAACTAATAAAAAAGGAAAGACAAAAGGTATGATATTTTGATTTGAAAACTTTGCCACTCACACTCTTTTTATTTTGCTGGCTGGAGTTATGAAAACAATAAAATTAATGGTAAGACTTTAATTAATATAGAGTACACAGTTATTTTACCCATCAGACTATTTATCATAGTCATATAGGTTTATTTTACTTACATTTGTTATAGCCACCCAATTCCATGGGATGCTATTACTTTCCATCTCAGATAACTCAAGGGATATGACTAGGTATGTAATCTGTCCTATGTCACTTTTTAGTGCATTTTATGATTCACTTCAGTAACATTTTGCTTTCGCAGAGTGAAACTTAAGATTTGGAAACAATCCATACAGTTATAGTTTGGGTATTCCTTGCGTATCAACTACTCATTCAATGTCCAAAGTTGCAGAGGAACTGAACAAATTGTAGTTAAGATAGTCCCTCTAATTTCCAGCCATCGCAGCCCCCTGGAGTCACATGGTTGTAATTTGCTTAGCAACCAGTTCACACTCACAAAAGTTGTAGCATCCTGCAATGATATGACTGCCATTTGCAACCTTTCCTACAGGCTTCTCAGAAGCGGAGGCAATGGGGAGTTGGCAGGGAAGGTTCTGGTCAGTCCCCCACCTTCTGCTTATTGCACCACACCCTTCTTCTTCTTTTGGTTTCTCTGCACTTGTGTCAACCTGTGCCTTCCTTCCCCCTGTGTCCCTGTATTCATGTGAACCTGTGCCCCCCCTCCCTTGGCCTTCCTGCACTCAGGGTGTACCACAGCACACTACCAATTCATGCACATTCTGTGCCTGGTCTCCCCACCCACCTGCAGCATTTCTATGCTGCTTATCTGGGTCTCATATCATTTCCTGCTTAACAATCCACACGTCTTGGGGATTGCATGGATTGCCATTGCTAAGTAATGCAGTCATATGGCATTGTGCTTTACAACTGCATTTCTTAGTAACAGCAGTCTTGCTGTCATAACCCAAGGACTATATGTATTGTATGTCCAAACAGTATATACTGTCTGTATACACAATCCATCACCACTCCTTACAATAAAATTCTGAAGGTTTGTTTTCTCAGCTTTAGGGCTAAAAATCTTTTTCAATATTGATTGCTTAATAATAAAAACAAAATAATTTGAAATAAAGTGAAATCACACTGAACAATTAAATCTTACTTTTTTGTTAGGCAGTTATGGTAGCAGCATACTTCAATCTCTTCTTTGTGAGTAGTTATACTATGTGTATATGCAGGAGTATTTCATTCAACTGAAAAAATTGTGATTCTGAGATTTTATTGGAGTTAATAGCATATCAGCTTAGGTTTGGTTCAGTTGTATTAAATCATGATTTACTGAATAAACTTCAGTTGCTTAATTGTACATCATCTTTGTTTACAAACTACATTGACTAGGTTCATACAGCATAACATGTCTTGGCACAATGCATAAATCAAGCCATAGTTTATATTTTGCCATTAGTCAAGATAAGATACACCTTAAAGATCTTATTTTAACAAATTCTGTAAGTAGATCCGGTTCCTTTACTTATTTGTAAATATTTGTTTTCACATGAAAAGCAAGTTTTTCAAATCCACATCGAGTTAAAGATCACTCCAGAATGATATGATGCAAAATATCAGGCCATTCTGCTCAGGTTCAAGTAGACATCAGTGTGGTTAAAATTGGTTCTTCTTTGTGTGTTTATTTTACCATTTGGCAGTAATGTTTTTGTGTAACTAAATACAGTCTCTGCTTCCTCACTTCTACTTTTTTGGGGGGGATATCTCATCAACTGTTGGTGTTCTGTAGGTCGTAATAATAAATCCATGTTCTTTGTGTTTTCAGCTGGATACAAAGAAGAAATAGAAGTGTATTCTCTACTGTTGGAAAGATTTAACTTCTCAAAAAGTGTGCCTCAGCCAAAGGTTATAGTGATAAATTCACAGATCGAAGTGAAAAGATGGGGGGTTTTTTTTGTTCACCTAGTAGGTAACAGTAAGAACTATCTGGCGATAATAATTTAACTCGTTGGACATCTTTGACACCTCAGAGAAGGACATGTTCTCAAATCTCTTGGGGAAATGAAAACCAAATTATTTGATGAAGACTAAACCTCTGGTCCCGGTGACCAACCCAGATTGGATCCTGCAAATAATTCTAATTTAATTTTCTATGAAGATAGGCTGCAAGCATTTTCAATGTAACTGCTACCTCCCTTTTAGAAGGCATTAATTTTCTCCCTTTTTTTTTTTACTTTTTCCACTTGGATTATTTCTGAGTCATTTAAAAAGTGTAGAAATCTGTGGTGTTTTATTCAGAGCCTCAACAAGTGTATTACGGTATTTCATTCATACTGAATCCACAATTTTCTACCCATTTGGAAGAAATCAAATTGGGAGTGCAGTTTTTATCAAAAGCGAATTCCAGCTTATTTATTTTCAAGAGTTCTTAAAATAATGTGTATATTAATTCACAGATATCACTTATGTAATTTGAAAAGATAACTTGTTTATGCGTCAACATTTCTAGTAAAGACTAGCATATATAGGAATGCTATAATGTAGCTGCGGGATGAATGTGTAGCATTTGCAACTACAGTTCAATTTAAAGCAAAATAAAATCTATAAATAATAACAACAAAACAACAACAATATAGTAATAATAATAATAATAATAATAATAATAATAATAATAATAATAATAATAATAATAATAATAATAATAATAATAATAATAAAGTTGGAAGGGTCCTTGGAGGTCATCAAGTCCAACCCTCTGCTCAGGCAGATAACCCTATACCATTTCGGACAGATGGCTGTCCAGTCTCTTCTTAAAAACTTTGTGTTGGAGCATTCACCGCTTCTGGAGGCAGGTTGTTCCATTGGTTGATTGTTCTGTCAGGAAGTTTCTCCTTAGTTCTAGGTTACTTTTCTCCTTGATTAGTTTCCATCCGTTGCTTCTTGTCCTGCCCTCAGGCGCTTTGGAAAATAGCTTGACTCCCTCTTCTTTGTGCAGCCCCTGAGATATTGGAACACTGCTATCATGTCCCCCCTCGTCCTTCTCTTCATTAAACTAGACATACCCAATTCCAGCAACCGTTCCTTATATGTTTTAGCCTCCAGTCCCCTAATCATCTTTGTTGCTCTTCTCTGTACTCTTTCTAGAGTCTCAACATCTTTTTTACATCGTGGTGACCAAAACTGGATGCGGTATTCCAAGTGTGGCCTTACCAAGGCATTGTAAAGTGGTATTAACACTTCACGTGATCTTGATTCTATCCCTCTGTTAATGCAGCCTAGCACTGTGTTGGCTTTTTTGGCAGCTGCAGCACACTGCTGGCTGATATTTAAATGATTGTCCACTAGGACTCTGAGATCCCTCAAGGTACCCCCTATACTATACCTGTACGTTTGATTTTTCTTGCCTAAATGTAGAACCTTGCTTTTTTCACCATTGAATTTCATTTTGTTAGATAGCGCCCAGTTTTGTTAGATAGCGCCCAGTTCAGCATCTCTTGATTAATTAAACTTTTATTCTCTGACCTTGATTTTATTTAACTTATATTTCAAAAAATCCTTATAATTCAGTTTTATCAATCCATTGGTGAGGTATCCTCAGCAGACTCAACATCAGTTAACTAGTTTCCTGTTTATTATCCCCTTAAAAGAGGTGGTGGTGTCTTTTTAGGATTTTTGGTTTCATTTTATTCTGTTGTTCGTCCATCGATTTCGATGAAGACCTTGACATCTTATGGATTATGGGCCATCAGCGGTGTGTCCGTAGATAGCTGATGAGACCGATATTAGCACGGAATGTTCTGCCACATACTGAACAGAGAAATGTGGACACTATTGCTTCAGCATTTGCAGCTCTGGCTTTACGGAGTACTCGCTTCTCTTGTGCCAAGATTGTCCTTCTGTGTTCATATGTCTGGCAACCCTGGTAAACCAGGGTACGCCATGTTGGTCGTTCATTTTATAGTAGTCATTAGAATAACAGTGAAGAGCTCTTCAGATTTTTGTTGATAGATTACAACTCACAACACCCTTAGCCAAAATAGGCTAAGGTAAAAAATGCTTTGAAATGTAATCCAGCAAAATCTGAGGAAAGTCATGAATTCTCTTTTCCTACCTTATGTTATCTTCAAAAACTGTGAGCAAAATCTCTTCTAAGCCAAACTAGAAGTGGCTGAAAGATAAATAAGCCAGGTTGGATCTTCCAAACAAGCAATCATGACAGATTGAGGATATAATTAGTGAAATTGATAGTTTGGTCTTCCCTTATCAACTCAAAATTGTCTTGACCGTAATATTTCTGTAAATAGAATCATCCACATGGATTTTTGCTAAGCCTTACATCTTTTTAAATATTTATCTGTTTTTAAGAATCACTACTCAAATAATTATAGACAGAAGTACACACCTTGGTACTGGAAGGGCTTGTTTATTCCAATGAAAAATTTTAATGTACATTTGTGCTAAGTTTTGAATTGCTAGTAAAATGAAAACAAGCTGGGAAATGGAATTCCTTTCTAAACTAGGAAGTTTAAATTCAGGTAAAGGATAAAAGTAACCTGTGAATGCAAAATGGTATTGAAATACAGAAAATAAAGCAGATAATTTATGGAAATAAAGCAGTCTTTTGTCTCAACAGTACAAAGAGCAATATTATTTCAGACAACTAAACACGTAGGAAGAGGAACACAAAAGTAGTGTTAGACTGAAAAGATCAAAGTCCTATTGCAAATACTGTATCTACATATACTTCATTGTGGACAAAATACATCTCTGTATTTCCCATATATTCCCCATATTTTATTTTGTGCGGTATTTTATTAAACATTACAATTAAAATTTTAAATGCTAATACAAACTAGGAAAAAATAAAATGAACAGAAAAAATAGTGCAGAAAACAGAAAAGAAAAAATATAGTAAGAAAAAATATAAAGAAAAGACTTCTCCCACAAGCATAAACAATTTTAATATCTTTTTTATCTTCTCTTAAAATGCAAATTCTCTTTTTACTAGATCTCATCTCTAAACAAATCCTTTAAACTTAATCATTTAGTCCTTAATCAGCAAATATCCATTAAGCATTACCAGAGATAACGTTTATTTTAACTTAATCAAATAAACCAACTTTATATTTCTACCTTTTACTTTTAACAGTCTTGATTTTTGATCCCTTCAAATAATGTTTTAGAATGTGATTTTTTTTTTCATTCTCACAATTCTTTTCACAAAATTCTACAAAACTTTAACAAGTCTCTTGTAAGTCCAATATAGGAAAGATATCCAGGTCACTCTTTTCATTTGTTACTTGTATATCTCTTTTAATTATTAAGAAATCAAACAGTTTTATTTTTATATCCAGTGTAGCATCTTTTTCTACATAATTTTTGTAGCCTGTCGTTTTTAAATTACTTTTAGGTCATCTCAGTCTTATCCAGGAAAACTTGTTCGCTTCCATAACATCTTTTAAACACAGTCTATTTATAATGGTAGACTTTCTGAAAATTAACTTTTGAGCCATTGTTCACAAGTATCCCTCAAAAAGTCCAATCTTACAATATTTTGTTCCATTCTGTACTAATAAGTCAAGTTTAAATGTCCTTCCCCTTTGTTATCTTCAGTTCCCTGTGCATCCAATTTTTAAAATGTTATTATATTTTGTTTAAGGAATCTAAAAGGACAGCATTTCCCCCTGGGAAGGATTCTTATAATTAATTTCAAAATTTTATTTCAAATTTATCTGGACCCTTACTCCAATTTTAATTTTTCAAAATCAATGTTCTAACCACCTTTTGTGCTATTTATTCAAAACGTTTTTTTTAAGTCCTTAAACTTAATTTAAAACTTCTGTTGCTAAGGATTGAAGGAAACTTACTCATTGCTCTAAAATCTGTTGTTCCAAGGATTCTGAAAGCAGCTAGTAAGCAATTTCCAAGTGATTAAAAAAGGAAGTATGCAAACCATGTGTCCATAAAGACACTGACTACAGTTTGAATGGAGATAGTGCTCTCTTGTCTCCCAAAGTGCTAAATTTGCTGGATACTTCATGAGGAGCAACTGTCTGGACCATGCATAGGCAATCCCTAGTCTTCTCCCTGTCTGGAGAGGAATCCAAAAGAGCTGGTCCACTTGCTGTCTCTTCATTTCACTGCAATTGTTGGCTTTCCTATCTTTAGTTCTTTCTTCCCAGGAAATCCTACATTCCCATATTTATTTAAAGTACTTCCTTGCACCTACACACACACACAGATACACACACACAAAATACATGCACACGCTCATACTTTCAACAATAGCTCTTTCGTGAAGATTTCCAACCATCCTTAAGGTGTTCTGAAAAGGAATGGTATGCAAGTACATTGATTGTCAAATAATACATTCATAAAAATGCACACTTACTTTGTTCACACATTTTTATATTTCTAGACATGTATACACATTCATATTTGCCTACAGATCCCCTGTGTATCAACCATGACAGTTTTAAATGTCGTGCTTGGCTCAGGGATTAACATATGTCCTGATTCATACACTTTTTTCTTCCTAAACAATTGACTACATGCATGTACTCTTAGTGTTCCATGTGCTATAAGCTCATTTGAAACCACCCTGTCTTGCATCCTTGCAAATCTGCTAGAAAGTCTTTAGAATGCATTAGAGGGTGAGACTCTTAAACACTGAGGAGAAAAGACAGTCAGAAAGACAAAGCTGTAAAAATCTTTCCAGAGAAGAAGTGCTGTAGGGCTGCCGAAGCAGAAATTAGAT